CAGATTGATTAAAAATAAAAGAGAGAACAACCAAATAGATGCAATAAAAAATGATAAAGGGGAAATCACCACAGATTCCACAGAAATTCAAACCATCATCAGAGAATATTACAAACAACTCTATGCACATAAACTAGTAAACCTGGAAGAAATGGATAAATTCCTGGACTCCTGTGTCCTCCCAAGCCTAAACCAGGAGGAAGCTGAAACTATGAATAGACCAATAACAAGGTCTGAAGTTGAGGCAGCAATTAAGAGCCTACCTCACAAAAAAAGCCCAGGTCCAGATGGGTTCACAGCCGAATTCTACCAGACACACAAGGAGGAGCTGGTACCATTCCTTCTAAAACTATTTCAAACAATCCAAAAAGAGGGAATCCTCCCCAAATCATTTTATGAGACCAACATCATCCTGATACCAAAACCCGGCAGAGACCCAACGAGAAAAGAAAACTTCAGGCCAATATCCATGATGAACATAGATGCAAAAATCTTCAATAAAATATTGGCAAGCCGATTGCAACAGCAAATCAAAAAACTTATTCATCATGATCAAGTAGGATTCATCCCAGGGATGCAAGGCTGGTTCAACATACGCAAGTCTATCAACGTAATTCACCACATAAACAGAACCAAAAACAAAAACCACATGATTATCTCAATTGACGCAGAGAAGGCATTTGACAAAATTCAACAGCCCTTTATGCTAAAAACCCTCCATAAACTCGGTATCGATGGAACGTATCTCAAAGTAATAAAAGCTATTTATGACAAACCAACAGCCAATATCATACTGAATGGGCAAAAACTGGAAGCATTCCCTTTGAAATCTGGTACTAGACAAGGATGCCCTCTCTCACCACTCCTATTCAATATGGTACTGGAAGTTCTAGCCAGAGCAATCAGGCAAGAAAAAGAAATAAAGGGTATTCAAATAGGAAAGGAGGAAGCCAAATTGTCTCTATTTGCAGACGACATGATAGTATACCTAGAAGACCCCATCGCCTCAGCCCAAAAACTCCTGAAACTGATAAGCAACTTCAGCAAAGTCTCAGGATATAAAATCAATGTGCAAAAATCACAAGCATTCGTCTACTCCAATAACAGACTTAAAGAAAGCCAAATCAAGAGCGAACTGCCATTCGCAATTGCTACAAAAAGAATAAAATACCTTGGAATACAACTCACAAGGAACGTAAGGGACCTCTTCAAGGAGAACTACAAACCACTGCTCAACGAAATCAGAGAGGACACAAACAGATGGAGAAACATTCCATGTTCATGGTTAGGAAGAATTAATATCGTGAAAATGGCTATACTGCCCAAAGTAATTTACAGAATCAACGCTATCCCCATCAAGCTACCATTGACTTTCTTCACAGAACTGGAAAAAACCACCATGAACTTCATATGGAACCAAAAGAGAGCCCGCATAGCCAAGTCAATTCTAAGCAAAAAGAACACAGCGGGGGGCATCACACTACCGGATTTCAAACTATACTACAAGACTACAGTAATCAAAACAGCATGGTACTGGTACCAAAACAGAGATATAGACCAATGGAACAAAACAGAGGCACCGGAGGCAACACAACATACATACAACTATACAATCTTTGATAAACCTGACAAAAACAAGCAATGGGGCAAGGATTCCATGTTTAACAAATGGTGTTGGGAAAACTGGCTAGCCATGTGCAGAAAGCAGAAACTGGACCCCTTCCTGACACCTTACACTAAAATTAACTCCAGATGGATTAAAGACTTAAACATAAGACCTGGCACCATAAAAACCCTAGAAGGAAATCTAGGCAAAACTATCCAGGACATAGGAGTAGGTAAGGACTTCATGAACAAAACACCAAGAGCATTGGCAACAAAAGCCAAAATAGACAAATGGGACCTAATGAAACCCCACAGCTTCTGCACGGCAAAAGAAACAGTCACTAGAGTGGATCGGCAACCAACAGAATGGGAAAAAATTTTCGCAGTCTACCCATCTGACAAAGGGCTGATATCCAGAATTTACAAACAACTCAAGCAGATTTACAGGAAAAAAACAAACAAGCCCATTCAAAAGTGGGCAAAGGATATGAACAGATACTTTACGAAAGAAGACATATATGAGGCCAACAATCATATGAAAAAATGCTCATCGTCACTGGTCATCAGAGAGATGCAAATCAAAACCACATTGAGATACCATCTCACGCCAGTTAGAATGGCGATCATTAAAAAATCTGGAGACAACAGATGCTGGAGAGGATGTGGAGAAAAAGGAACACTTTTACACTGTTGGTGGGAGTGTAAATTAGTTCAACCATTGTGGAAGACAGTGTGGCGATTCCTCAAGGCCTTAGAAATAGAAATTCCATTTGACCCAGCAATCCCATTACTGGGTATATATCCAAAAGACTATAAATCGTTCTACTATAAGGACACATGTACACGAATGTTCATTGCAGCACTGTTTACAATAGCAAAGACCTGGAATCAACCCAAATGCCCATTGATAATAGACTGGATTGGAAAAATGTGGCACATATACACCATGGAATATTATGCAGCAATCAGAAATGATGAGTTCGTGTCGTTTGTAGGGACATGGATGAATCTGGAAAACATCATCCTCAGCAAACTGACACAAGAACAGAAAATGAAACACCGCATATACTCACTCATAGGTGGGTGATGAAAAATGAGAACACATGGACACAGAAAGGGGAGTACTAAACAGTGGGGTCTATTGGGGGGAAAAGGGGAGGGCCAGTGGGAGGGGGAGGTGGGGAGGGATAGCCTGGGGAGAAATGCCAAATGTGGGTGAAGGGGAGAAGAAAAGCAAAGCACACTGCCATGTGTGTACCTACGCAACTGTCTTGCATGCTCTGCTCATGTACCCCAAAACCTATAATCCAATAAAAAATTAAAAAAAAAAAAAAAAAAAAAAAAAAAAAAAAAAACTAAATTGAGTCACTGGTTGGCAGTATACAATTGGATCTTGTTTTTTAAATCCATTCAGCCAGTCTGTCTTTGATTGAATAATTTAATCCATTTATATGTAATTACTGATAGTAAAGTACCTACTAGGCCATATTGTTCACTGTTCTCTGTCTGTTTTGTAGCTCCTTTGTTCTATTCTTCCTCTCACTGTCTTCCTTTGTGATTTGATGATTTTTTTGTAGTGGTATGCTTTGATTCCTTTTTCTTTTTCTTTTGTGAAAAAGAACTTATTTGTAGTTATTAGGAGGTCTACATAACATACCTTATCATTATAACAGGACATTTTAAGCTGATAATTTAACTTCAGCTGCACATAAAAACTCCACATTTTCTCTCCACATTTTATGTTACTGATGTCACAATTTATATCTTTTATGTGTCATATATTCATTAACAAATTATTGTAGCTGTAATTAAATACTTTTGTCTTTTAATGTTTTTATTAGAATTCAAAGTGATTTATGTACTACCATTACAGTATTAGAGTATTCTGAATTTGAATGTATTCTTATCTTTACAGAAAGTTTTAACTTTCATTTGCTTGTTAGCACCCTTTCAGTTTAATGTGAAGAATTCCCTTTAGCATTCCTGTAGGAACATCTCATGATGATTAACTTCCAAGGCTTTTGTCTGTCTGGAAAAGTCCTCATCTACCTCTCATTTCTGAAGGACAGCCTTGCCACATGTAGCATTCTTGTTTGGCAGGGTGTTTTGTTTGTTCGTTTGCTCTTTACTTGCAGCACTTCGAATATATCATCCTATTCTCTCCTGGCCTGCAAGGTTTCTGCTGAGGTTTCTTTCTGATGCTTTCAAAGTCCTTTCCTTCTTCGACTTTTGAGAAGTTGATTATAATGTGTCTTGGTAAAAATCTCTTTATATTTAATCTATTTGGGGTTCTCTGGGCTTCATGAAACTGGAACCCCTGGGTTCAATGAACCTTCCCTTTTCTGAATTTCGGGATTTTCCTTTTTTTTTTTTTTTTAAATAAGCTCCTTGCCTCTAACTTTCTCTGGAACACCCACAATGTGTACATTGGTTTTCCTGGCAGTGTCTCATAAGTCCTGTGGGCTCTCTTCACTCTGGAAGTCCTATTCTGCCATCTTACTGGCATCTGATGTCACCCCTGTTCATGTTTTAAAATCACTACCTGTTCACTTAGCCTGATGGAAACTACCTCTCCCCTCATTTCTTTACTATTAATCTTCTGCATCTTGGCTTCCTTCATATTAGTTCCCTGGGCAGAAATCTGTTATTTAAGTCCCTCTACTACCTGACTTTACATTAGTTAAGAACCCTGACTGCTCACCAACTCAATTTCTCTCTCAACTGAGTCCCCTTGTTTTCTGAAGCCGCTATGATTTCTTCTACATTCTTACAATTCTGTCTTCCTGTTGAAAAACAGCTTATATCTGAAGTTATTTGAGTTGGCTTTTATGTACCTTTGTGAATCTTAAAGGTTTTTTCTTTTTTTTTTAGATGAAGTGTTGGTCTGTCACCAGGCTGGAGTGCAGTGGCGTGATCTTGGCTCACTGCAACCTCCAACTCTCTGGTTCAAGCGATTGTCCTGCCTCAGCCTCCTGAATAGCTGGGATTACAGACACATGCCACCGTACCCAGCTTATTTTTGTATTTTTAGTAGAGACAGGGTTTCACCAGTCCATGTTGGCCAGGATGGTCTTGATCTCCTGACCTTATGATCCGTCAACATTGGCCTTCCAAAGTGCTGGGATTACAGGTATGAGCTATTGTGCCCAGTCTAAAGGTTTTTTTTTTTTCAAGTTAGTATGATTATTTCTTGTAAAATTTCTATCTTTTTTTGTTGCTACTGTGAAGATGATAATATTTTCCATTACATTAAACTATCATTTGTATATAGGAAGACTACTGATTTTTATATTTTCCATTACATTAAAATGGCTATCATTTGTATATAGGAAGACTACTGTTTTATAAATACGGTATTTTAACTTTTGAAAATATTTGCAGCAATAAAACATTACCTCTGTAAATCCAGAATCTCATTTGCAATATCTGTTCCAATACTACCAGCACCAAGTACTGTTCCAGCAGACATTGCAGGCACACTCATACAAGATTGTCTAGAGGATTCTAAGTAACGGCAAGAGAAAACATTCAGTTGAGGACTTTTTCTTTCAATTCAAATAATTTCACACTTCTCTCCTTAAAAGAAACAGACTAGCTGCATCCAAAAATGTTAGAAAACATTCATCCTTATATTACATATGTAATTCATAATGCTCTTTGAATCAAACGTGTGGGAAGTCACTGAGGGCACAATCATGCCTTGTAACCCAGGAGTCAAGTCTCTTTCAACTTTAATCTCCACACTAAAGCCAGAGCAATACTACTTCAATGCTTCCGAATATTTTTATTTTTACAAATAATACTTTAATATATTCCTGTGGTGAAAAACTAACACAGATAAGCAAAAGCTCCCCCTAATACTTCTCATTAATCTGTCCAAGAGTGTCACAATTGACAAGGAACAATGTTAGCTGGTAGGGCTGAATAATGGATAAAACATCATTCCTGCTCTTAAAAAAACTCGGTCTACTGGAAAGCAAGTTGAATGAACAACTAATTGCAGTACAGTGCAAGATTATAACAGAAACGTAAGCAAAGTACTGTGGAAATTTCGAGGGGGATACGGTGGTACCTCTGGGAGCTTAAATGGGATATCTGTTTCCTGTTGAATTTAGTCTCTTCTAAACCAAAGCTGGGATTCCTATAACCCAATCTGTAGAACGCCTTTTAATTTCACCTTCAAATTTTCCCCTCTCCAGGACAGAAAAATATAATAGTCTTAATAATATATCTCAGTAATAAGTCTTTCATCATCTGAAACTAAACTTACCTTCTGATGATTGAGAGCTACAAGGAAAAAATCCTGCTTCTCCAGGCTCACTATGCCCCCTAGAATTAAAAACACCATAGATGATTTAATTTTCTAAGGTGAAGTAAACTGTTATGGCAGCTACTCTAAGCTCTTTTTTATTTGTCAATTTGTGGCTCATTTATGTTTTATATACACATATTGTTAGTATTAAGATCTTAATGTGCTAAGTATCATGGCATTTGCCAAATGCCCCATCCCCCTATAAAATACATGTTCTCACAGTAACAAACTCTCAGTTCACATACTAATAAAAAGTAGGCAAAGATTATTGGGATGGGTGATAGGAAATACTGGAGGTATTAAACTTTTTGTGTTTTTTTTAAAATTATTTTTCACTCAGTATTGTAGATAAGAAAACAACTGGTTCAAGGAAACCTTATAGCAATTTCAAAGAGAAATTTACGGAAAAAAAGTAAGACTTAGAACAGGGCCATCCTAGCCTACTATAAAATCGGGAAACCTTGGCTCTCCCTTCAGGCTAACACAGCTACAGAACGGGGCTTGCTAAGCAACACCTGGGCTGGATTTCTGGTCTCCCCCGTCCTGGGCCTGCCTACACAGACACGTGTGGCACCCCAGGCTTACAAGATGTGCAGGTAAAAATGATGAGGAGGACAAAATAATTTCTTACAAGAGTGCACAGTAGAAGTCCATATCTGCATTGTTTACTTAATGTCCATGGAGGGTAGGAAGAAAATGCTTGAATGAATGCCTTTACCCTCACGTATTATATCAAGGAGGAATGTATTACAAAAAAAGAAAACTTTCAGCTTAATTCTGAGAACTAACGTCAATGAATAGTAAATGAATTACTTGAAAGATAAATATCAGGTTATAATAAAAGGCCAGAGGATCATACAGTTTTAATGATTCAGCAAGATGAGAGGAGAAAAGGGAAGATACTCATTTGAAATTAATATAAAGGTCTTAACATAAAAAATTACTTACAAAACTAAAGTGTTGACAGATACGATATATTCCAGTTCTTTCGTCCAAGGATTTGTGAAACTAAACCATTGGCTTTTTAAAGTTACAAAAGAGCCATCTTTTGCTCTGAATTTGTAGGAATCTGTAAGTATTTTCTCCTTACTCTGTAGAACTTAACGAGAAAAGATAATTATCAGCATTAACAGTCTACCCCTAAAAAAATCAACGTTGTGAGGATTCATTAAAATTACAAATTTCACAGGAATGGGAAATTAAGAGTGAAAGCTGTCATTTTAAATTCCCCAAAATGTATTCCGCTTGATGCGTACCTACCTGCTTTGTGCTTGTCAGTCAAATTACTATGGTCATCTTGATGAAAATATTCATAACAAGAAGTTCCCAAAAGTTCCTGAGGCAGATATCCTAAAATTGCTGTTGCCCTGGTTTTAAAATGGAAAAGAAACTTCAGAAGTGGTGAGTGTACTTCCTCTCAGAATACTGTAGGCCCACATGTGGCCAAGAGAGTAAGGAAGTGCATGGGGACCCATGCACATCACTGGGCTCCCCTTGGCTGTCCTAGACCCAGACTAGAGTTGCAACACAGAACAGACACCCAGGGATGAGGCCTCCACCCGATCCAGGCTGCGCTCTTACTAGCTTTTGCCAGTAAAATTGGGGCCACAGACCATGCCCAGTTTCTGCACCAACTGGCTAGGAGACACTCTTCCAAGTTTACATGTTAGCTTAAACAAATTTGCTAACATGTCCATATCCTTATTTCATTTAAAGTTTCTTTTTTGTTCTGAAAACACACACACACACACACACATACACACCCCTAGCAGTGCTACTAAGACATATCTTTAATAGCTTCAAATATCCCTTTGAAATCTAATCATTATAACATGTAAATGTTTACCTTTGATCTACATAGACAAATTTTCCATTCATTGCAAACCGGGTTATAAATTCAGTTGGTTTCACATTAATCTCTCCACTATTCTGTGGAACAATATATGGCTGTAATCTTCCAATGGCTACAAGGCAGGTAAAATTACTGTTGTCTTTCTTACTGTTCCTTTCTTCTTCCATTCCAACAATATTTGGAGGCCAGCTTCTCAAGTAACCAGTGCAGTGGACAGTATAGAATTTCCTATGCTCTAATTCAAAGATTTTTAAAAAGGACATTTGGATCATTATAAACAAATCATTAAATGTCTTATATTGACATCTATAATAGTTACAATTGTGCTATAAAATGCTCTTTAAATATGCTAAAATATGAAAGGGGAATGGTATTCCATTGAAAAGATACCATCGATTTTGTTTATTTCATGACTTTATTATTAATAGGTTATTTTTCTCAGGAACTAAATTGTATGTACTACATGAAAAAGCAAACAGGTTGCATTATTTTAGGATTAACTAGGTTTATGACTTAACACATTTCTGAGTCAATTTTTAAAATTACAGTAATTTACTTCTGTCAGAAAACATTAAACCTCATGCCCCGTTGTAATACTGTTTTCAGCTTAAGTTTTTTGACATATTGTAATATATTGTAACTTAGATTCAAAAGTATAAAAAGGCATTTAAGTCATTATGCATACATTCTTAAATTTCTTATGTTAGTGCTTATCAAGGTCAATAATTATATAAGGTTATTGCAGATTATAGAAACATCTTAACACTTGGAGAAATTTATAATGGAAGGTACAAAAATAAAATAAACTTCACTTTTTAGGAAAATCCCAAGCAATTAACTAAGAAGACTGTCAAGCATGTCCACCAGAAAAAAAATTGGAAATAATCTATATACTCCAATATCATGCTTAAGCAAAAAATGAATCCAACACTAGCATAAAAGATGAGTAGGATACAGATTATAGCATGCCACAAAAGTGATTTAAAGGTTAAAAAGTAGGGGAAAAGTCTGATAAAAATTATTTGAAACAGCTGTTTATGATAAGATTTAGAAAAGATTAGAACAATCAATGTTTTAAATTGGCACTATTTGGTAAAACTGCCACTACAATAAATCCTTTAAGGCTGGGCACAGTGGCTCATGCATGTAATCCCAGCACTTTGGGAGGCCAAGGTAGGTGGATCACCTGAGGTCAGGAGTTCGAGACCAGCCTGACCAACATGGTGAAACCCCATCTCTACTGAAATACAAAAATTAGCTGGGCATGGTGACAGGTGCCAGTAATCTCAGCTACTTGGAAGGCTGAGGCAGGAGAATCCAAGGAGATGGAGTGAGCAGAGATCATGCCATTTGCACTCCAGCCTGGACAACAGGAGGGAAACTCCAACTCAAAAAAAAAAAAAATTCTTTAAATTTTTTTCTAAATAGAAAATGACATGAACTGTCATATAAGATAGTAGCTAACAATAATAGAAAAGATTTAGAGAACACTTTCTGCGTCACAGTCTATTTTAAGTGTTTTAAACTTATAACTCATTTAATCTTAATAGTTCTATGGGATGATCTGGTATCTCCATTGTCTTAGGAAACTGAGTTAATGGCAAAGTCACAGCAGGTTCAGGGTGGAGCTGGGGTTAAAACTCAGGCTGGCTCGAGACTCTACTTTCTAAACCACTAATGCCACACAATTTACTGATAGTGAGTGCTCTGTCACCAAAGATGTTCAAATAGGAGTTGCCTGGGTGACAGAAAGGGAGGGGTACAAAGGTATTCCAGCCAGAGGGAATAAGCAATGAAAACTGAGAGTGGTCAGATGGGGCTGAAGCACGGGCTGCAGTGGGGAAGGCTGGAGAATAAAGCAGGAACAGAGGGCAGGTTGTAAGACATCCATAAAACCTTGTCTCCAACACCTAGCAAACACCACTCCCTTCCCGGGCCACAGACACCCTAAATTACAAAACTCCTTCTCTCTTCCAACCTCAAACCAGTCTTTATCACCTATTATTCCCGACCCTGTTTACTAGTGCCACAATCGACCCAGGCCGTTCAGAGAAATCTGGGGGTCATCCTCAGCTCTACCTCCTCCTAACAACCTCCCCTTTCACCTCCCGCTAACAACCCAGATAACACAAATGCGTTAAAATTGACTAAGTATGAATAAAAGTTTTCATTCATATTAACAAAACTAGAGGGCAGTTAAAAATAAAAGGGCTTATACATCAGGTTTGGCATTTCTGCAAACTTACAGATGATACTAAAAATATTCCACTCCACTGAAAATGCAGACTTAAGAAAGTCTATTTTTTATTTGTCATCTCATCACACAGAACCTAGCCTGTTACATTTATTTCTCTTACAACAGGTTACTATCTGTATTTCCAAATCAAACTTTCCCTCAATTCTCACTGTGAACATTTATTCGGTTAGAAATTTCTAGTTGGAGTTATGTAATTCTATCAACTGCAATTCATTTTGATCAGTGATCTAAAGTTTGTATTTTTTTAAATTCCATTCAATCCATTTCCTGTTTAGAAAAGAAAAAGTGCTGGCAGAGTAATATTCTCAGGGCAAATAGGAAATGGATTAAAACTCTCATCCAAAACATTATTTAGATCTTTCTCAATATTGGAGTCATGAGGTCTGATCCTTGCCAAACTATTGACTTACACCGGTTCCACAGGCTAGGTTCAAGTGTCATCTACTCCATGATTTCTCAAGTGTGTGGGGGTGAAGTGAGGGAGAGAAAGCCTGTATTACCCTAACGCTGCCTTAATTTACAGGACATCCTTCCAAATTCCTTTATGAAATTTTTCCTCAACACGTTAAAGGCTGGGTCTCTCAGTTTGGTTATCTTGCTGTCTTCATTTGAATCCTTGAGGAAGCAGATCCAAAACAAGAATTCAAATATAGTAAGTGTATTTGAGAGGTGGTCCCAGGAAACACTGGCAGGAACTGGGAAGTGAGACAGGGAAGAGAAGGAAACTAATAAAGTATCTGAAACCTGTAAGTTCCTGGAGCCACAGGCAGAACTGGCTCCAAACACCCAAGGAAGAGGTCAGGCAGAGTCCCGCCGCTGGACTCCAGAAGCCAGTGGCACACCCTGTCTGCAGTGGTGGGTGCTGGGGGGATAACCCATGGGGCACTGACAGATGGCATCTGCCACACGTGCACGAGAAACAAGTGGATTCTGGGTGTACTGCTGTACTTCTTCCTCATGTACAATTATCTTATGAAGGTAAATTTAAGAAACACCTAAGAGATTTGGTAGCAGTCATCCATCCTTCATCAGCCTGCTATTTCACAAGTTCAGATACTTGAGTAATTGTCTCTCTACCTTAGAAGCATTTTCAAAGTTTGAGTCTATGACATTAAAGTTTGATTCAGGATATAAATAATTTTTTAAAACATCAATGTTGTTTATTTAAAAAAATATTTTATTATGGAAAATCTCAAACATAAGGCAAAATCAGAAATAAACTTTGGTAACTCATCTTGAGAAATCTTGAGAAATGGCCAGTCTTTCCATAAATCTTAGAAATAAGACTGTGATAGGAGATACAAGAAAATACAACTCAGGGAGGAAGCTTTAGCTCCAGGCTTGAGCACTGCTGTCCAGGGAATCCCTATTTTCCATTTCTCACACTCTCCAAGAATCTTGAGAAAAGAGTCTAAAGCAGTGGCTGTGAAAGTAGGATCTCTGGATTAGCTGTATCAGCCACACCTGGAAACTTCCTAGAAATGGACTCCACCTCAAACTGATTCTGTGTTTTAAAAATCGTTCCAGGTGATTCCAATGCAGACTGAAATTTGGGAAGCATTGGTCTAAAGGTGTAACTTAAAATGTATTTCTCCAGTGAACCTAAATTTTCCTGAATATCAGGGAGGGGTTCAAATGGTGACAGTGCATTTGGTTGGAGGATCAGGCCACAGGAGAATGAGGTTTTGCCAACAGGTTTCTGAATAGAAGCTCAGCCTGGATAGGTATTTATTTTCAACTTGAAGAATATAAATTGTTTGCATGTGGATATTGGTTTGAGAAGGCTGGGGAAGTTTACTTATGTCAGAAGAGAGAATGAAATCGGGAGAAGTAGCAGGAAGAATTAGATTAGGGTAGAGGGGAGAAAATACAGAGGCTGAAAATCAAGCCTGTAGAGGTGCAAGCTTTAGCAGAAAAGAGCAAGATGATGGGGTAGGGAGCAGAGGGCAAAATCAGGTTTCACAGAAGTAGAGGGTTACAATGGGCACTAATCAGACACCAACACAAACATGACTAAAATCCTAAGTCAGTCCATGTGGAAAATCTCCCAGAAGAAAACACAATTCAATCTGGTAATCTTTAAAACACTTACAAAATTTCACCATTCTAGTCTCTAATCGATTTGTAATTTGCAACAAACATGACAGATTTCAGCCACCTTACAGCAGTTGCACTGGCTGTTATGTTTTTTGCTCATACAGATTTCTGTGCAGATTTGGTGATTTACACATGATTGGACCCTTATGGACAGATTAATTAGAGGTGAACCCTAGAAGAACCAACACCATGTTGGTTCACCTCTGGTTAAAGCCTAAGAATAAAACATACTACAGTATGACTCCTAGGACCATCCATAGAGAAGGAATATTCCTGCCATTGGAGACTATTTTCACACTACATGGCCACGTCCTACCTGGTCCCTATGGTAATACCAAGATGACTCATGTGGAAAGGAAAGCAGAGAGAACAGGCACTCTGGGGTAGTGACAATAATGGCACCTGCCATCTGCTCTACACTGTCCTAGGAGTTTAGGTGGACTATTTCCAACAGTGTTTTTAAGAGCTCCTAACATCGGTTGTCACTATGCTGGGAACCAGGCTAAGCACATGATGTGTATCAACTCATTTAATCCTGATAACAACCCTGAGTGGAGTCTATTATTCCCATTTTAGAATTGAGGGGAGTGAGCCCCGAAGGATTCAGAAATTTATCTTAAGTCACAAAGCAGAATTAGGATTTAAATCTAAACAGTTTGGCTCTAGAATGTACTCATTTACCTGCTGCAGCTAAACCAGAGTCCTGTGAATATTCTCATGTTACAGATATGGAAACTGAAGCTCAGAGGGATTAAGAAACTTGCTTATGATCACACAGCTAGCTTGTGGTAGAGCTAAAATCTGATCCCCACTGGTTGGATTTCACAGCCTCTTTACCTCCAGTTTAGCTGTGACTTCAAGCCCAGGAAGCTTCATATGTGACATTAGACAGCTCTCCACCACTCAGAGCCACCGGCAAGAGGGAAGAAACTGATGGTCCTTAAACAGATCCCCCTGAGGACTGCTGGTTCATTTCCATTTTTGTTTCTTTACAGTATAACACAGAGTAGGGGGTTTATGACTGATTGTGAATTTTACCTATTTTGACTTTCTGCAAGTTACTGAATCTCTCCAAGTCATTCATCTTTAATCCTAAAACAGAGATAAGAAAAGTATTTTCTGGGCTGGGTGTGGTGGCTCACCACACCCAGCACTTCTGGAGGCTGAGGCGGGTGGATCACCTGAGGTCAGGAGTTCGAGACCAGCCTGGGCAACAGGGCGAAACCCCGTCTCTACTAAAAATACAAAAAATTAGCTGGGCGTGGTGGCAGGTAACTGTAATCCCAGCAACTTGGGAGGCTTAGACAAAAGAATCACTAGAACCTGAGAGGCAGAGGTTGCAGTGAGCCAAGATCGTACCAATGCTCTCCAGCCTGGGAAACAAGAGCAAAACACCATGTCAAAAAAAAAAAAAGAAAAGTATTTTCTGCTTAATTTACATTTCTGGTGACAATGTAAATTAGTTCAGACACTGTGGAAAGCAGTTTGGGAGTTTGTCAAAGAACTTAAAACAGAGCTACCATTTGACTCAGGAATCTCATTACTGGGTATACACCCAAAGGAAAATAGATCATTCTACCAAAAAGACATATGCAATGTATGTTCACTGCAGCACTGTTCACAAGAGCAAATACATGAAATCCGCCTACGTCCCTATCCATGGTGCATTAGATAAAGAAAGTGGGGTACATATACAACATGAATACTTCACAGCCATTATGAATGAAATCACGTCCTTTTCAGCAACATGGATAGAACTGGAGGCCATAATCCAAAGCAAATTAATGCAAGAACAGAAATCAAATACCACATGTTCTCACTTATAAGTAGGAGCTAAACATTGAGCACATAAGGACATAAACATGGGAACAACAGACACTGTGGACTATTAGAGTGGGAAGGGAGGGAAGGGAGTGTGGATTGAAAAACTACCTACTGGGTACTACGCTCACTCCCTTCGTGCAATATAACCATGCAACAAACCTGCACGCGTAGTCCCTGTATCTAAAATAAACATTGAAATTTTTAAAAAAGAAGAGTGTTTCCATGAGGATTAAAACACTTAGCAGAGTATCTGGCACAGGGCAAGTGTTTAGCAAATGGGTATTAGCAATGATCATTTTAGATGTTTGTCAAAAAAGATTCTGACCAAAACTTGTAAATAAATTGAATTTTGCAGCTTCATATAAATATCCTTTTAAAGAATAGGAAATCAAATCCCATGTTGAAATTTGCCAATGGAATTGTATATCTACTAGCTTAATATGCTCCTAGGCAAAAAAGTCATGAGATATTTTATAGTCCCTGAAATTTCCCAATTAAGTTAAATAGATGACTATTGGATCAACTCAAAAAGTAAACATAAGCAAGACAAATCTACAAAGGATCATAAGAAAGCAAATGAGGTGTTTACCAAAGAATCACCAGCTCATAAAAAAGTAAAATACCTGGAACATGCTAAGAAACTTTCACCAAAATTAGTAAAATCAGGCTCCTGTACTATGAAGTTTTTTTTTTAATCTAACTTTTATATTTTAAAAAGTAACAATGAAGTTTCATAGCAAAAGTTTCATTTCCATCTCTTGTCATTTTTTTCCCATTTGATATGGCCCAAACTACAATTTCAATAAAACATTAAAATCTTGAACAACAAAGAAAATATGTAATTACCTGATAAGTGTAAAAGATATGATGAACCAATCTAAATAATTTTGGTTTAAAAAAATCTGATTTTAAAGGTGCTTTTGGATTCAAATATTTCCCTTGATCATGTATTTTATTTTTTTCTGTACAGAAAATATTTAGGACATTAATTTTATATCTATGCTTTACACCACTTGACATTTCAAAATGATACCTTTCTTCTTTGAGTTGGGTAAGCATTCATGCTCTTCTTTGACAGAGATTTTACAACTCTTTATCCGACAGAAAAAAGACCGTCTTGAGCCAGAATACACACGTGTCCTTCCAGTGTGGAAATTACTGTGAACTTGCAAACCAGCTTTTGCAGCGGAAGGGGGCAAGAGAATAGATGGAAAATAATATAGACAAATAATTTTGAAATTTATATTCCTAACATTTTCAGATTATCTATTACTGAGAAAGGAAATCATTTTTTAAAGCAATGGCATGATTATACAGTAAACTCTGAAGTGAAACAACCAAAAAATGTTATTTGACAAACAATCACATTTTGATAACTTATAGTCATTTGCAATTTATCTTTCTTTTTTTGCCAAGCAGGGAAGAACAAAGTTAATTTAAGTAAAATGAAATAAAAATTCAATTAAAAAATGAAAAAAAACCCTCAACTATTACAGGAATCAATGGCATAGTATATCGTTTTATATTTTACACAATTATTTGGTACTAGGTATTTTCAGAGGAGAAAAAGAATACTTACACTTCCCAAACACAATTATACAAGGTCTTTCATACAGAAAAGACCTAGTCCATATAAAAAATAGAATAATTGTCTTTCAGCGTATAGCTAAATAACAGGAACTTTAGCAATTTTTTATCCAAAATGACATTCTTATAAAGATTTATTTGCATATGAAAAATAGCAAATAGGAGGCAATCATATTTTCCCCAAACAAAGCATCTTCCTATGAATGCATTTGTGTTTGTATGTCTGTAAAATATCGGAATTTTCTATATAGCTATATATATTTATTAACTATGATGTAAAGTTTACAAAATAAATCTCCTTTAGATAAAAGCTTAGTTAGCCATTTAAAATATATTATATAGCTAAACTTTTAGGTGATCATTACATTTACATAAAATGATAAGCACACAGAAATGGAAACTTACTTTTGGCATCTATTAGCTTTTCTCCTGGTGAAATATCAAAAGAAGAAAGTTGTTCCTTTACTTTGGCAACATCTTTTGGATGTAAGAAGTCAAATAAGCTTTGTCCAGTCAAACTAGCCTATTTATAAGGTAGACATTCATTTAAAATCAGTACCATGATTTTTCTACATTTTTTGATGCATACAGTAAATGTCCTTTTTTGTTAAAGGTTGATTTTTCTCAAGCTCAAAGATATGTCCTATGTGGCATTAACTTAGTGTTCAAAGCAGGGTGATACTTGTAGACAGAATAAAATACATGTGTATAGAACCATACCTGGATATACACAAACCATGTACAAACACTAGTTGCTAGTATTCTGCTACATCTCATAACGCTTGTTAACGCATGTTACTTCTAAATGATTGTGATTTATTTTGAACTTTTTTGTCCTTGTTAAAAGGAGAGAGATTACATCATAGTATAATATGGAAATCACGGAATATCTATGGCTTTATCAGACATTTACCATACTGTTTTAAAAATTACCATATTATTGATAAGTAAAATCCAACCCAGAATACCTCTCACTTCCCATTCCACCACTACCAATATGCACAGCATCCCCAGATCTATGCCTTTGCTGATACAGTCCCATCCCTTAGAATTCATTACTCCTTCCCTATACCCTGGCCACTGCAGCCAAATTGCCTTTGACTCCCTAGTGTTCCAAGACTTCCTTCTCCCAGCCTGAAATGTTTCCTCCCCTTCTCTACATCTTGCTTCTGACAAGCCTGGCAGACATCCTACCTCATGTGTAAAGCATTCCCTGACCCACAATGGCCACCCCTCTTCTTAATTCCTGTATTACCCAAGCAAACAATCTTAAAAAACCACAGGGCTGATTGACCAGCCGATACAAGTAGGCTGAATTGTTTGGCAGTGAGATATTTCACTCTAAAACATGCTGTGTGGTTAATAAGTCTATATCCAGAACTCTCTAAGGCAGATCACGTTTCTGAATCCGAAAAGCTGAGGACCAAACCCTTAATCATGGGAATCTCTACATGCCCCTGAGCAGCCAGTAAGTCTCTTAACGGCCTCTTATATGCAAAGTCAGTGTCCAGTAAGACTGGATTCCATGTCACTAACTTGAAACTTAAGTGCTACCCTAAATTGTCAGTTATGCGTGTGTGTGTATGTTCCATCTCCAATTAGAACATGGAATCATGAGGTTTGTGTCCCCAGCTATAACCAGCTGCATGATTCATCGGTTTTCAATCCTCCTGTACATAGGCTCTTAATATTTACTTACTTCTGTAATTAACTCATTATCTCTGAACATCTTATAAACTAATGGGAGCTATTAAAAATCAAAGCTGTGATCTATCTGATTTCTAATGCTAGTTTATTCACTCACTTGGGTTAGTTTCAATGGTATAATTTTTGAAACCATATAGTTTCCATTAAATGGTGTTTAGTAATAAGGAGGTAAAGTACTAAACCAGTTAAATGAAAAAGATGTATTTCAGAGAGTGTTGACAGAGATTAGATCAAAGGCTGTCATGCAATGCATGTGACTTAATAATAAACTAGTAAGTGTCTCTTGGAGGGAACAGAGAAGGGTGACTAACGCTTCACACACTTTTACATATGACACCTCATTTTCATTTAGTCTTTACATCTTGAGAGACAGGTATAATCATTTTGACTTTTTCCATAGGAAAAAGCTGAGGCTCAGTAATATTCAGTAACTTGCTGAAGGTCAGAAAGGGAACACAAATGTCAGTAACAAAAATCCTTACTCTTTCCATCTCTCTTGGAGTTCTAACTTAGCAGATCTGAATCCCATATCCCAGTGGGAGAAGGCATTCAGAGAAAGAGCTTACAAATATGTGTTTGTTCAAAAAATTAAACATTAGGTGGAAAATATCCTCAGTTTTGGATACCTGATCGTAATTAAGTATTTTGGAGACTGACTTAGAAACGAAGAGAATTTTTCCTTTTTCACATCCAACCACAAATAGGAAGCCTTCTGCAGTCTAGGATTTAAAAAAATAAAAATGAATATTTTAAACTATTGTCTGTCTCTCATACACCACACACACACACACACACACACACACACACACATTCAGATTCTGAGGAAATTATTATAGCAGTAAAACTACCAGAGTAGTCATGGAGCTAGTAAAATTAACTTTAAGAAATGTTCTTAAGGTGCAAACAGATTTATAAAGAATGTCAAGCTGAAATCCCATTCTAAATTAATGTGTTGGAGATGAAAAGTTCAGCTGCAGGATATTTAGTTGAGACGTTTCTTAAAAACTGAACTTAGGCCAGGCGTTGTATATGAGCCTACACACAGTACTAAATAAGCCTCTATCCCAACACTTTGGAAGGCAGGTAACACTTTGGAACTCACGAGTTCGAGACCAGCCTGGGCAACAATGGTGAAACTCTGTCTCTACAAAAAATACAAAAATTGGCTGGGCGTGGTGGTGCATACCTGTAGTCCCAGCTACTCATGAGGCTGAAATGGGAGGACGGCTTGAGCCTGGGAGGTAGAGATCACAGTGAGCCAAGATTACAGCACTGCATTCCAGCCTAGGCGACAGAGCCAGACCTTGTCTCAAATAATAATAATAAAAATAAAATAAAATTATATTTACCAATTCTACTATACTGCATGCAGAATAACGATTGCCTGTGGATGTGCTGAGGGAGGACTGTGCAGACTGGGGACAAGGAAGCAATGAAGACATCATACTGTATGCCTTGTTATCATTTTTGAATAATAATAAGGCATTACTGATTCTAAACTAAATTTTAAAAATTCGAATGTGTTAGCTACTCTCATAAGGTCTACCCAATAAATCCCATGAAGCAGCCTCCATGGAAGTGTGTATGTATGGCCACATAGGATGGGTCCGGTACTCCTGCTGGGCATGCTCTGCAGGGCAGAACCAGAGTTCCATGAAGGTATGACTGACAAGCATGGACAGACTGGTGAGAAAGCTTCAAAAGCAAACTGTATATTTTGCCACCTTCAAAAATCTTTTTTATCCACACGGTATCCTTTATATCCTTGCCATAAATGCTACATTTAAATTCAGCTGTTCAAATAAAAGAATGGCGTTTTTAATTAAAGGAAAAATGGACAAAAACATGTATGAAGAATCTTTCTATTTAATTCTACTATGGCTTAAAACTGAGCAGTCACACAGCACATGACCAGGACGTTTATCACCTCTGAGGGCATGAGAAGCCAATCACATGATCACAGTTTGCATGTCAAATGAACCTCTAGACTGGTGAATCTGAAAGCCATGCCCAGGAAGTGATGAGGACAGAAATGTGAAAGCCCTGACTAACAAATCTAAGTAAGCGGTGACTGGCCTCCGAGGAGTCCGGGATCCTGAGGGAACAGGATGCCAGGCAGACGGCTTTGGAGGAGGTGGTGATCGTGGGGAATACATCCTGTGTGTGAGAGATGGGTAGTACAAAATGCTTAGCGCAGAAGACAAGCTTTGCTCCCTAGTGTGGAAAGTGCCTTTCCTCTGTCTCTACTTTCATTAACACAAACTAGTAAGACATGGCTACTTCTCTATTTTGAATTTCTATATTAAAGGAAATGTGATATAATATGGAGTCCAGTAGGTTTGTAACAGGAAGAAGATGGAAGAAAATCTGCCTCCTATTCAAACAGCAATGAAAAGACATATACAACTTAGACAAGTATGTCGTTCGTTACCTTAAGGATTAAATGTCTGAGCTCATTATCTTGAATAAATGATGGTTTATAATTATTTCCCACACAAGAATTTGTCATGCCTAAAAAGAAAGGAATCAAGAGTTATTGGAAATATAGTAGAGAGGGCAACATAGTAAGTGCTCAATGAGTATTAGCAATGCTACTGCTGCTGTTGGTATTTTCTCTTTTGGCACATTCTAAGAAATTTTTTGTAATCATTTTCTTTTTTTATTTTATTTGTTTAGTTAGTTAGTTTGAGACAGAGTCTCACTTGGTTGCCTAGGCTGGAGTACAGTGGTACAATCTCAGCTCACTGTAACCTCCATCTCCTGAGTTCAAGCAATTCTTGTGCCTCAGCCTCCTGAATAGCTGGGATTACAGGTGTGTGCCAACACGCCTGGCTAATTTTTGTATTTTTAGTAAAGACAGGTTTTCACCACGTTGGCCAGGCTGGTCTTGAACTTCTGGCCTCAAGCAATCCACTCACTTCAGCCTCCCAAAGTGCTGGGATTATAGGAGTGAGCCACTAATTCCAACTAATCATTTTTTTTTTCTTCATCATCACTTGATTAAAATTTCTTTCTTTTAGACTGTGAATTCTTGGAACTACTTATTCCTTTATACTCAAATATCCACAGTAAGAGCTATATATAAAAACATCATAATAAAATGTACATGAAATAATATTCAAGAATCGATATTAGTAGTCCCCCCTTATCTGTGGTTTCAGTTGCCTGTGGTCCACCATGGTCTGCAAACAGGTGAGCACAATACAATATTTTGAGAGAGCCGGAGAGACCACGTAACCTTATTACAATATATGGCTATAATTGTCCTAGTTTATTATTGTTGCTAATCTCTTCCTGTGCCTGATTTATAAGTTAAACTTTATCATAGGTATATATGCATAGGAAAAAAACGTCCTGGCCAGGCGCGGTGGCTTAAGCGTGTAATCCCAGCACTTTGGGAGGCCGAGGTGGGTGGATCATGAGGTCAAGAGATCGAGACCATCCTGGTCAACATGGTGAAACCCCGTCTCTACTAAACATACAAAAAATTAGCTGGGCATGGTGGCGCGTGCCTGTAATCCCAGCTACTCAGGAGGCTGAGGCGGGAGAATTGCTTGAACCCAGGAGGCGGAGGTTGTGGTGAGTCAAGATCGCGCCATTGCACTCCAGCCTGGGTAACAAGAGCAAAACTCCGTCTCAAAAAGTCCTATGCCTAGGGTTCAATACTACCCATGGTTTCAGGCATCCACCAGGGTCTTGGAACATATGACCCATGGCTAAGAGGGGATTTCTAAAGTTATTTAGATAATTTCTTAGCTAATTAAAACTGATCATATAAATTACCCTGAATGGTGATATTCTGGAATTCTAAACAAATGTTATGGATTCATGAGAGTTTCCAGTAAAAAAAAAAAAAAAAAAAAAAAAAAAAAAAAAACCTTTAAGGTCAATATGGAGACCTCTGTTTTGAAAATACACAGATTATTAAAAACATGTATAAAATATCAATGAAATAATTCATTTTCAGCCCTTAGCATAGAGTTATTAAATTAAAATGAGAGTCTCTAAAGCAGCTGAAGAGCTTGCAAAATGATGAAGAATTATCAGGTCAAAACCAAGGGAAATGTTTGATCTGAAAAGAGTAAGGGAAGCACCAAAACCATCTGGTCATGAGGGCATCTACCAACCCAGACATGCAAAGCCCTTTATGGCCACAGGGGGAGTATGACACTGCCCACAAAGCCAAGAAAGCTATCCCCAGGGCAAGGGTGATTCAGAAGCAAGTCAATTTTCCCTTCCTTCTATTCCCCAACCTTCCTGACTCCTATCCAATCTTCCTAGGGACTGTAAGAAAAGTTGCTTTTGCAAGAGAAAGGTGGGGTAACATCCTTAGACATTTTAACCACACGTTGGTCCTTGGATGCATCTACGGGCCAAACTCACCAAAGAACCAAGAGGTGGTGGCAAGGTGAGTGGGCAGGACAGAGTCAAAATGCCTCATGCTATGATTTGGTACAGTTTTCTCAGACTCCTAGCACTCTTAAGACCCTGGCAAAAGAACATCTCTTCTGTTGGAATGTACCTTCATCCTAGGGCTCAAGGAATTCTCCCAATGACTTCTTGTTAATATTCCTACACAGCAGCCTGGAGGGAGCTGAGGAAGGGAGCTAAGGAAGGGATGAAGGATGCAGACTCTGAGTGCTAGGCCAGGGAACAGCAAGCAATAAATCTATTCTGAGCAAGGTAATGGCATTTCAGGTCTGGCCTGCAGCAAGGTTGGCAGCGCACACCAGGCAGAGTGAGCTGTGAAACCCTGTAGGTGTAAATCAGCCAGCACAGGCCAGCCCTGACTCGGTGAGTGAGTGGGGATGTGCTTGGGAGAAAATGAGGGTAGTGAGAGCAGCACTAAGGCATGGCAGAGGCCAGCCCGTAAATACATGCTGTGCTGTCCACACACTTGCCCACACATTGGCTCTCAAAGTTCCCAGGGCGAAAACCAACAAGGCAACTTCCACAATGTTCACTGGGTTAAAAAAAAAATCAAAATGACAGTAACAACTCATCTTCCTCTTCTTACCCCACCCCCACCATTAGTGAACACTGTGCTATACTCTACATGCATTACTCTTAACAACAGCCCAGGAGGCAAATGCCTCATCCCTATTTCACCGATGCAGAAACAGGATTAGAATGTCAAATGACTTGAGTAAGTCACACAGCCATGATGGGAGGAAGCCAGGATTTGCACCGCAAGGTCTACCTTCAGGACGCATAGGTGTGAACCACTCCCCTGCGCCGCCTGGTCATCAGATCACAGACACAGGACTCATGCTGTGGAACAGGGCTACGCCAAATGTGGTCTGCAGACCAATGCCATCAGCAAACTGAGTGGTGAGGTCAAGTGCAGAATTTAAGAGTAAGCATTTACAGGCTTTTATAAAAATGTAACATTGCTGTGACAGCCAAGCCCATGATCGTTTCTTCATAACTAATTGTATTTTACGATGAACTGGGGTTAGATGGGAGGAACACCTGTTCTTCATCCAGATAATTTAAAAAGCACTGGTGTAGAGTGTAGTAAAAAAAATCCCTTCACCATCCTTCTGCCTTTAACCTAATTATGCTGTGGACCAAAATAACATGATCCACAGGCAGCCCTCTGTTGATCCGGCTTCTAAGCTTTTGCCAAACAAGTGTGGGGATACCCTGGAATGCAGATCCAGTTGCCTTAAGTACGGGTGAGCAGTGCTTGTGAACAGCACTGACCAAAAGATCTGGTCAGACTGCCAGGATGAGTACTTAACCATGTCACTTCTGCTTAGCAGAGCTGACAGCAAAAATCTACACCCTGTTTCAAGGAATATCCTCTGGACTCAAGACAGTGCCTCCTCCCTGCCGAGCTCCTCTCACTCACGCCACTGCTGTAACATTCATTACATTAGACTCTGACGATCTCTTCCTCCTAGTCAGACCACGAACTCTTGGAGGGCAGAGACCTTGCCTCATGAATTTTTATATTCTCGGCACAGAACAGGAAGGCAGTTGATGTGTAGATCATGTTTTGTTGAACTAGTCAACTGATTCATGGCTCTTCCCTTAGGTCCTCGTCCCTTAGGACTCTGCTAATATGAAAATACTCAGCTAATTTAGGGTTGCAATCAAATGGGCTAATTTTAGGGTTGCAATCAAATTTACAGTTGAGCCTGTAAATTTTCATTGCTGAAGGATTTAAGGAAAATACTGCAAGTCTCAGCTGTGGGTAAAAGAGAAGCTTATTTCACAATAGACTGCTATGAAAATAAGATCTCCCATCATGCTCCCAACAGGACGCACCAGGAGTCCAGGTTAATGCTGTTCTCCTCTCAGCCACCCTAACTTGATTTGGTAAAGTCCTTGTATTGTGCCCAGATAATTTCCATTACCCTGAAATAGATTTCCCTTTTCCTGGCAGTGTCTGAGATCTAAACTAAGACCCTTGGTCATCCTTTGCTCACTCAATTTTTATGATTTTTGAGCCAAATTTCAATATAATCTTCTAGATCTTTACAAATCTGAACTTTCAGAGTCTCCTCTGGAGTCTTCAGCTTGCTACTTGGTCAGATCTTATCTTCTCAGTGGAAATTTACATCGTCAGCATTGGTAAATCGAAAACTATTCCACTTACATCACCCTGTCCCCCAGGTTGGACTGGGGTTATTCCCAGACCAGGTGTGATTTCTACTGCACATGTTGCATGGTTCGGCTTTGTGTCCCTGGCCAACTCTTATGTCAAAAAATAATCCCCAGTGCTGGAGGTGGGCCCTGGCGGGAGATGACTGGATCACACTGGTGGATTTTCCCCTTGGTACTGTGTCGCAACAGTGAGTTCTCATGAGATGTGGTTGTTTAAAGTGTGTGGTCCCTCCCCCACCCTCTCCTGGTCCTGCTCCTGCCATGTAAGACGCCTGCTCCCGTTTTGTCTTCCACCATGAGTCAAAGCTCCCTGCGGCCTCCCCAGAAGCAGAAGCCATGAAGCTTCCTGTACAGCCTATGAAACCATGAGCCAATTAAACTTCTTTTCTTTATAAATTACCCAATCTCAGGTATTCCTTCATAGCAATGCAAGAATGCACTAAGACACATATACACATACACATTTATTACACTTTGATTTAAAATTCAAGCTCAAGCTGGTGAACTGCTAAAGCCAGAAACGATGACCGATGCACTGAGAGGCAGTGGCAAGGAGCTCCTTCTCCCAGCGTCTCACATATGTCAGGATACCCTGGAATGGCAACGTGTAAGGCGTCGTAAGGTACTACTCATAAATCTAATGAAGCTTTCAGGGAAACTGCAGAGTTTAAGGAAGTTTTATTTTTGAAGGATAGAAATCTCCCAGTAACTTAGTAATTACTACTATACTTCAGAACATTATTTTTCTTTTTTGAGACAGGCTGTCACCTAAGCTGGAGTGCAGTAGCATGATTACTGCTCACTGCAACCTCTACCTCCCAGGCTCAAGCAGTCCTCCCAGGTAGCTGGGACTCCAGGCACGCATGACCATGCTTGGCTAATCTTTGTATTTTTTGCCCAGGCTGGTGTTGAAGTCTGGACTCAAGCAATTCATTCGCCTCAGCCTCCCAAAGTACTGGGATTACAAGCATGAGCCACCATGCCCAACTCTACTTCAGAACTTCTAAAGAATTGAGAATTATGAAAGGCAGGTGGTATTCTCTTTATATTATACTTGAAGCAAAAATGTGGAGACTCTTCAAGGTTGCATAGTGAGTTTGATATAAAGCTTTTACCAGAATCAAGTTTTCTGACATCCAATTCAGTATTCTCTCCACAGAGACTACAGACCAACACCAGTGAATGCCTGTAAAGCTGAAAGACACATCCAGATAGAACCTCAACAGCTGACAGCAAAGCAAACCAATCAGAGACCTCACTGACAGAGGAGCTTTCACATATCTAAGTGTGGCAGCCGTCGTCAAACTCACCTTTCAAAGATCTCAAGTGTTGAACAGCCATTCTTAAAACTGTAAGTTTGTCCAGTTTACGCACCATGGGGTTGCACTGAGGGATCATTGCAGACAGTTCTTCAATCAGGTTATTCATTTTATCTCTCCTCCGCTTTTCAGTTTGGCTATGAGCTTCTCTAAGAGGGAAAAAGAACTTCCTTTATATTTACCAGTTAGCAGACCTAGTCACACTGTGGTGTCACTGGAGCAGAGGCTGAGCCCAGCAGGCACACACTGTTCTTCCTCTTAACCTGAGCCCTGCAGTTGCCACTGAGGGGAAGAGGAAAGTGCTGTGACACCAGGAATAGCATTCATAAAACTTGCTGCCCTTGGTCAGTCCCTTCCTACCTCATTCTCTGAAATCCTTCAGAACAGAGACATCTGTCGGGGAGCCCAGGGGGGTTTTCTATCTCTCTCCAATGTTAGAAGAAGAGATGGGTGCCCTTCTGTTCAAAGCCAACTATTCTCTGGTATTTGCATAAATAGTCATCAGCATCTTAACCTCATTCTTTTCACAGTTCCTTATCACGGGTCTATAAATGTGCTCAGGTCTCATCCCCTTGAAAAAAACCCTTTTCCTAATTCTAATTGTTTTTATTCCTGCTACTGTCTTCCCTCCTCAGCAACCTCCCTGAAAGAGTGCGGTTTCCACTCAGTTTTTCATTTCTCAGGCATTCTGTCCATCTGTAACATCAAACTTCCACAACCGCTGCCCCACTAAAACTGTCCTAGCAAACATCCTCCTTCTCTCTCACAATCTTGCTGACCCCTGCCTTGAATCTGACACTGCTGACATTTCTAATTCTCCACAGCCTCTCTGGCTCCTCGTCCTCCTCCACTCTCCCTGCTTGGCTCAGTCCCCTTGTCTCCTCCCCCAGCTCTTAATCCTTAAATACTGGTGTGCACAACTCCCTGCTCAGGGCTGCTCTCTCCTCACTCACTATTCACCCTGAGATCTCATTCCTTCACAAGGCTTTACAGCTACTCATAAGCTACTTAATTGCTCTTATAACCCTATCTCATTCATACTTCACTCAATTCCTGACCTTTGAAACTAGAATTACAAACCTAAATGATTCTCAAGAAATCTAAAGCTCAAGAAACCCCAAACTGAATGTATTCTCTGCAATCTACCCCATTTTCAATTCTTCCTGTACTACTTCTGGTTTATTCTTCGTTCTAGAGGGTTTATCTTGGTTGGTAACACAACTAGACTCAGTCTAGACCCAGCTTGTCCAAACCATGCTCCAGGATGGCTTTGAATATGGCCCAACACAAGTTCATAAACTTTCTAAAAAGATTATGAGGTTTTGTGTGTGTGTGATTTTTAACAGTAATGATAGCTAATGAGCTAAAAAAAAAATCTCCCTTTTGGCCCAGGGAAGCCAAAAGATTAGATACTCCTGTTTAGAACCTTTCCTCTTCACCCTAAAGAGCCAAATAATCACAAACTCCTGTAGATTCTAGATCTTAAAATATTTCTTAAATATGTCTTGTCTTCCTCTCCATCTCCTCTGTCACCACCTCAATTTAGGTTCATTGCATTATCCTAAAACCTTTTTTTTTTTCTTGGGGGGGGAGGAGGAAGGCAGGAAGGAAGGGAAGAAGGACGGTAGGGAGGAAGGAAGGGATGAAGGAAGGAAGGAAGGAAGGGAGGAAGCGGGGAGGGAGGGAGGGAGGGAGGGAAGGGAATAAAGGAAATCAAGCAATGAAAGAGACATTGCCGACCTGGATCTAGAGGTTTACAAGTTGATTTCTTTTTTTGTGAGAGAAGGAAAGAAAAAAAAATAATAAGTAAAGGAGAGGAAGAAAGAGGAAGAGAAAGAGGGAGAGTAAATGGAAATATTGCTTTATTTTGAAAAAAATTGGGTATTAATAATGGCCAATCGAGAGAGAGACTCAAGATGGCGCTGTGAGAACAACCCAGGATTGGAGCCCGCGTTGAATTCGCAAACGAGACCCAAACGAAAAGTCAGCAACTACGCAGACGACCAGCGGACAAATCCACAAAGATGGGAAGAAACCAGCGCAAAAAGGAGGAAAACACCCGAAACCAGAACACATCGCCTCCTAGAAAGGACCAAAACTCCTCACCAGCAAGGGAACAAAGCTGGACGGAGAATGACTGTGACGAAATGACGGAATTAGACTTCAGAAGATGGATAATGAGAAACTTTTGTGAGCTAAAAGATCATGTATTAAATCAATGCAAAGAAACTAAGAACCTTGAAAAAAGATTTGAAAAAAGATTCGAGGAAATGATAACAAGAATGGATACCTTAGAGAGGAATATGAATGAATTAAAGGAGCTGAAAAACACAATACGAGAACTTCGCGAAGCAAACGCAAGTTTCAATAGCCGAATTGACAAAGCAGAAGAAAGAATATCTGAAGTCGAAGACCAACTCAATGAAATAAAACGAGAAACCAAGATCAGAGAAAAAAGCGCAAAAAGGAATGAACAAAGTCTCCAAGAAATGTGGGACTATGTGAAAAGACCTAACCTACGTTTGATAGGTGTACCAGAAGGGGACGAAGAGAATGAATCCCAGCTGGAAAATACTCTTCAGGACATCATCCAGGAAAATTTCCCCCACCTAGCAAGACAAACCAACACTCAATTGCAGGAAATACAGAGAACACCACAAAGATATTCCGCAAGAAGAGCAACCCCAAGGCACATAATTGTCAGATTCAACAGGGTTGAAATAAAGGAGAGAATACTAAGGGCAGCCAGAGAGAAAGGTCGGGTCACCCACAAAGGGAAGCCCATCAGACTCACAGCAGATCTCTCGGCAGAAACACTACAAGCCAGAAGAGAGTGGGGGCCAATATTCAACATTCTTAAAGAAAAGAACTTTCAACCCAGAATTTCATATCCAGCCAAACTGAGCTTCAGAAGTGAAGGAAGAATAAAATCCTTTGTGAACAAGCAAGTACTCAGAGATTTTGTCACCACCAGGCCTGCTTTACAAGAGCTCCTAAAAGAGGCACTACACATAGAAAGGATCAATCAGTACCAGCCATCCCAAAATCACACTGAATGCTAAAGAGCTTCAACATAATGAAGAATCTACAACAACTAACAGGCAAAACAGCCACTTAGAATCAAAATGGCAGTATCAAATTCACACATAACAATATTAACCCTAAATGTAAATGGACTAAATGCACCAATCAAAAGACACAGACTGGCAAATTGGATAAAAATCCAAAACCCATCAGTGTGCTGTATCCAGGAAACCCATCTCACATGCAAGGATACACAAAGGCTCAAAATAAAGGGATGGAGGAAGATTTACCAAGCTAATGGAAAGCAAAAAAAAGCAGGAGTTGCAATTCTCATCTCTGATAAAATAGACTTTAAAGCAACAAAGATCAAAAGAGACAAAGAAGGCCATTACATAATGGTAAAAGGATCGATACGACAAGAAGAGCTAACGATCCTAAACATATATGGACCCAACACAGGAGCACCCAGATACATAAGGCAAGTTCTTAATGACTTACAGAAGGACTTAGACTCCCACACAATAATAATGGGAGACTTTAACACTCCACTGTCAATACTAGACAGATCAACCAGACAGAAAATCAACAAGGATACCCAGGGCTTGAACTCAGACCTGGAGCAAGCAAACCTGGTGGACATTTACAGAACTCTCCACCCCAAATCCACAGAATACACATTCTTCTCAGCACCACATCACACCTACTCTAAAATTGACCACATAATTGGAAGTAAAGCACTGCTCAACAAATGCAAAACAACTGAAATCATAACAAACAGCCTCTCAGACCATAGTGCAATCAAGTTAGAACTCAGAATTCAGAAACCGACCCAGAACCGCACAGCTTCATGGAAACTGAACAACTGGCTCTTGAATGTTGACTGGGTAAACAACGAAATGAAGGCAGAAATAAAGAAGTTCTTCGAAACCAATGAGAATGAAGACACAACGTGCCAGAACCTCTGGGACACATTTAAAGCAGTCTCTAGAGGAAAGTATATAGCAATAAGTGCCCATATGAGGAGAATGGAGAGATCCAAAATTGACACCCTATCAGTCAAAATTGAAAGAGCTAGAGGAGCAAGATCAAAAAAACTCAAAACCCAGCAGAAGACAAGAAATTACTAAGATCAGAGCTGAGCTGAAGGAGATTGAGACACGAAAAACCCTTCAAAAAATCAATAAATCCAAGAGCTGGTTTTTTGAAAAGATCAACAAAATAGACAGACCACTAGCCAGATTGATTAAAAAGAAAAGAGAGAACAACCAAATAGATGCAATAAAAAATGATAAAGGGGAAATCACCACAGATTCCACAGAAATTCAAACCATCATCAGAGAATATTACAAACAACTCTATGCACATCAACTAGTAAACCTGGAAGAAATGGATAAATTCCTGGACTCCTGTGTCCTCCCAAGCCTAAACCAGGAGGAAGCTGAAACTATGAATAGACCAATAACAAGGTCTGAAGTTGAGGCAGCAATTAAGAGCCTACCTCACAAAAAAAGCCCAGGTCCAGATGGGTTCACAGCCGAATTCTACCAGACACACAAGGAGGAGCTGGTACCATTCCTTCTAAAACTATTTCAAACAATCCAAAAAGAGGGAATCCTTCCCAAATCATTTTATGAGACCAACATCATCCTGATACCAAAACCCGGCAGAGACCCAACGAGAAAAGAAAACTTGAGGCCAATATCCATGATGAACATAGATGCAAAAATCTTCAATAAAATATTGGCAAGCAGATTGCAACAGCAAATCAAAAATCTTATTCATCATGATCAAGTAGGATTCATCCCAGGGATGCAAGGCTGGTTCAACATACGCAAGTCTATCAACGTAATTCACCACATAAACAGAACCAAAAACAAAAACCACATGATTATCTCAATTGACGCAGAGAAGGCATTTGACAAAATTCAACAGCCCTTTATGCTAAAAACCCTCAATAAACTCGGTATCGATGGAACGTATCTCAAAGTAATAAAAGCTATTTATGACAAACCAACAGCCAATATCATACTGAATGGGCAAAAACTGGAAGCATTCCCTTTGAAATCTGGTACTAGACAAGGATGCCCTCTCTCACCACTCCTATTCAATATAGTACTGGAAGTTC